AAAGCGTCCCCAGAAAAACAGGCCTTCAGAGCGTTTCCACCAGGGATAAAACAGGGCCTTTTCCAGAAGGTTCCAGAACAGGCCCTTTCATAGTTTCCAGGGGGATACAGGACCTTTTCCAGTAGGTTCCAAGATAAACCCAAGGGAAACCCTTTTTTCCAAGGGATTTTTTTTTCCAGATAACCAAGACCCTTTTCAGGACGTCCCAAGATTACCAGGCCTCAAGGAGTTCCCAAATAACAGGGCCCTTTAAACGTTTAAAAATTGATCTCTGGCTTATTACATTCCCCAAAGTTTCATGTTTTTACCAGGGAAAACTGTTATCCAAAGTGCAAGAAAAAACTCAGGAGCATTTAAAACCCATGTGCAGAATAGAACCGCTTCCACTATGGGGAAAAAAAAACAATATATATTTTTAGGGGGATCCCAAAAAAACTTGGAACTTATAGCAACTTGAAAAACATATTTGGGACATTAACCCATTTGTAATTTATTATTACTTTTCCATTTAGGGTTGGGTTTGACATTTTTAAAAAAACATATGATCATTTTAGGGTTCGTTTCTTTAAAGGGACCATTGTGGAAGGGGATTAGAGAATGGGAGCCCCACAAAAAGAACCGGGAAAGCAGCGCCCGACGGAGGCCGGGCCTTGGATTGTTCCCCAGGCCCAGGCTCCGACCAGACTCTGAACCTTTCTGGGGGATGAAGACACGGGGGTGGGTTTTCATGTGCAACGTTATTATTATAAATTAAAACATCAATCAAAACATGGGGGGCTTGGAAACCTTTACTGAACTACTGGGGCGACCTAGGAAAAGGCTTTTTAAGTCGGGAGAAACCATGGCCGGGGAACCCCCGTCAAGAAGAGGAAAACCCCGTTTCCCCCTTCTTGTTTAGATAACCAAAATTTCCTTTCATTGTTTAAGGTAACAAAAAAACCCACTAATTGGGAAACACCCACCCCTTATGGTGGGATTATTTATTATTACTGGCCAAAAAACAAGGGATTTTCGTTCCCCCTCAGTGCGGGCTACACTCTGGACCTTTAGGGTAAACCCAAAAAAGATACCAAACAAATGTGTGAAGTTGAGGAAGCGGGGCATTTTTCTGGGTCAGATTTGAAGGTTTTAATCTGATTTCTTAAAAACAGGACGAACCAACCCAAGAAAAAACCCTTTCCATTTTCCCCCATTTATTCAGGGAAAACCCCTGAATTCCGGCTCCTTCCCAAATTTGTCGCGCCTCCCCCAAGGGCTCGGGGGATTTTCCCCCTTGTGTTGGTGTGTGTGTTGTGTGTGTGGCGGTGGTGTGGTCGTTGTTGTGGTTGTGCTGTGGTGGTGCTTGGCAGCTGTTTTTTTTACCGGCTGCCTTGTGTAATGGAGATACAACTTTTCACAAAACAAGGAGCCTTTAGGTTTAATGTGGCAGGGGAACAGGAATCTTTTTCCCAGGGGTGAAAAAACAAAGATTTAAACAACTTTTTTTCTGTCCTGGAGGGAAAACTTAACCAGCCTGCAGCAATCCCTTGGAGGGGGAACTTTTCTTCTCCCTTTCCCAACAGGAAACTCCCTTAAATAAGGAAAGTGGAACTCTGAGGGGCGGCCCATTGTGTTGTTTCGTAACCCCGCCTTGACAATGGGGACCCGAATTTGCATTGAAATTTATAATTTCCCATTTTCAGCCTTATTTCATTGTGGAATCAAACAGGCTGGGCATTTCTCCCTCCCACAACAGACCAGGGGTGCCTTTTCCACCCGGACCACCAGGGAATTCTCCTGACAGCAGCTGAATCCCTTTCCCAGTTCCTGCGGCCTTACAAGGCGGAACCAACGGTTTATGGTGGGACATTTCAGGGTGGTGAGGAAACCAGGATTTCCAAACAAACCTTCAGGCAGCCACCCTCCCACCAGACCCCTCTGGGGGACTCCCACTTTCAGGCCAAACCCTGGGAGAACGGTTTACAGGTTAGTTTGATGGATTTTTTTTGGGGAAGCAGTACGGGGCTTCATTTTTCTCGGATTGCCGGTTTCTGCGGTCGGACCTTCGTGCCGTTTTCGATCTCTTTGTTTGTTTGATGGGTGGGCGGTTGCGGGGCGTCCGTTCACAAAATAGATGTGGGGTCACCACATTTGGAACTAGGGATACAGTAAAAAAGGTAAAAGTAAGGAGTGTCACAGGTTGGATAAAAGCCACGGTCTTGGGAATGTTTGGGAAGGCGGTTGCCCTAATGGATGCCAAATAATAATAAGTTAAATAATCCAATTAAACTTCCCCCTGAAATGTTTGAAAAGCATTCAAACTAAAGTTAAGGAGTAGGAAAGTTACAAAATTTTTGGTTGGCATAAATGTAAGGAGGGTAACAAGTTAAAAAACGTCAGAAAATTAAATACTTCTAAAAAAACCTACCTTACATTACAGTAAAAAAAGTATTTGTACTTTCTGCTTATGTTACTTCCCGCCTTTTGACAAATAGGGACCAACTGCGGCAACTTTCTGGGTGGAATGACGGGAGCATTGGTTCTAGAACGGGGGTGATTTCAACCAGCGGGCCCACAGGGCGCGCCCCGTAATACAAGGGGCTGGCGTTTTCCATTTTAAGTCGTTTCAACATGCCCCTCGTTCCCCACCTTGCCCTCGGGCCACTTGCCCCTCGGGGGAATCCCCGGCCGCCATCCATAAGTGTCGGTTTCCCAAATTGTCTGGAAAAACCTTGGAAGTAAACTTGGTGAGGATGGACCCCCTCGGAGGGCTGGGAGGAGCGAGTGGAAACCACGGATTTGGTCACTCCGAGGGTGGGATATTCACCACAAATGGGCATTTGCCAAGGTTTAACGGTCATGCTGCTATAACGCCCGGACTGCCCGACGCTCCCCAATGAGTAGGACCTCCAAAGGGAAGTGCCGTTTTCATTTAAAATCCCCTGCCCTCCCCCGCCCCACTTCACCTCCCGCGCCTCCGCCTCCAAGTGGCCTCCGTGCGACGTATGCTGTTACGTCATACCAAGGGCTGAGGGTAAGTGAACGAGGGGAAGTGGAACTACTAATGAAACGCAGCCAAGAAAGTCTGTGACCAGGGAGGAAGCCATTTTTTCCTGCTATGCATGAGCCAAGAAGTAAGCCCCGCCCAACTCGCTGTACATCCCCACTCAAGTCAACCAACATGGCGGCGGCCATAACGCCAAACTCAAGTCTTCAAAATGGTACTCCACAAACCAATGGGGGAGGTCACTATGGGTTCACAGTTGGTCAGTAAGTTGAGCCTGGTTCAATGTCCTCTGAGTACGTCCACATGAAGACA